ACAGCAAGAAGGCCCTCTCCAGATGCAGGCCTCATGACTTTGGACTTTCCAACCTGCAAAATTGTAAGAAATAGATTTCTGTACTTCATATAAAAATTATAATGTGCTTGATGCTTTATACGTGCTTCTCTTGCCACCCTTACGATGACTTCATAAGTCAATCGTTATTACTTCTATTTTATAAATGAAATAATTATGGTATAAATAGCTTGCCCATGATCACATAGCTCATAGCCAGTGGGCCTTCCATTGAAATCTGTTAGGCTGTAAATTTTGTGCTCTTTTCATTAGACCATGCAAGACTTTGTGTATCTTCCCTACTAAGGAATTTCACAGAAAGAAGCCATCCTTGTTCATAATAGTGAGAAATGGCATAATCGAGGCACCTTTTCAAGGGGAAAGGCAAATCATAAAGCTGAACAACCTCAGAATAGGTTACAGTGAACCTTATCAAGGACCTAGATATAATTATCAGTTTACACAAAGTACAGGGTATTTTAAATGACATCACCAGCATATAGCAGCAAATTCAGATCATAGAATACACTATAGGACAAATGACCTGATTTCTTCAACAAATGCATTACAAGGAAAAAGAAAGAGAAAGCATAGATTTGAAATGTGCTAAGAGACATATCAGCCAAGTACAATGCATGGGCTTTTGGCATGATATGAACAGAACATAAAAAGAAATGACGAAATGATGGACTTAAACACTTACAGGAAATTTGATGATGTCAAGAAATTGCTGTGACTTTGTTTTACATGTGATAATTATAGTATAGTTGTGGGGTTTTTTTAAAGAATCATTATATTTAGAAATACCTACTGAAATATTTTGTATGTAATGATGTATCTTGTTTCACTTCAAGGTAATTGAGGGAGGGAGGCATTAGATAAAGGTATATATAAATAGTACATGACAATGTACTGATAATTGTTTAATTGTGTGAAGGGTATGGGGGGATTATTACAATATCCTCTCTATTTTTTACATATTTTTTCAGCTGGGCATGGTGCCTAACGCCTGTAATCCCAGCACTTTGGGAGGCCCCGGTGGGCAGATCACCTGAGGTCAGGAGTTCAAGACCGGCCTGGCCAACATGGGGAAACCCCATCTCTACTAAAAATACAAAAATTAGCTGGGAGTGGTGGCATGCACCTGTAATTCCATCTACTAGGGAGGCTAAGGTAGGAGAATTGCTTGAACCTGGGAAGTGGAGGTTGCAGTGAGCCGAAATTACATCACTGCACTTCAGCCTAGGCAACAGAGCAAGACTCCATCTCAAATATATATATATATATGTGTGTGTGTGTGTGTGTTCAATAAAAAGGAAAAAAAATGGAAAGGTATATCAGGCTGTTCTTGCATTGCTATAAATAAATACCAGACATTGGGTAATTTATAAAGAAAAGAGGTTTAATTGGCTTATGGTTCTACAGGCTTTATAGAAAGATACACAGGTATCTGCTTCTGGGGAGGCATCGGGAAGCTTCCATCATGGTACAAGGTAAAGAGGGAGCAGATGTCTCACATGGTGGAAGCAGGAGCAGGGGGGCCGAGAGGTGCCATACATGCTTTTAAAAGACCAGATCTCTAGAGAACTCACTCATCATCACGAGGCCAGCACCAAAGGGATGGTGCTAAGTCATTAATGAGATATTCACCTCCCGCCAGGCTCCACCTCCAACAATGAGGATTATACTTCAACACGAGAGTCAGGCGGAAACACAGATCCAAACCATCCAAACAGAGGCAATAGAGACTATCTGGTCTAATTGTGTTGCCACTGCCTGAACCCCCTTTGTGGAATGTCAGTTACATGAAAGCATGAACTCATTCATTCTCCCACTCTTTTAAACTTATTTTTCTTTTTGAAGTTGTTTTTTTTCATCATGGTGGAGAAAAGAAAGCTTAATTTCCTTGGAAACATTGTCTTGGAATGGGAAATCTTTTTGTTATATGGCATTGTAAAGCTTAAATCTTTCATGTGTAAAAATTATGTGGCCCTCATTTTTCATTTTCAGGGGAAACATAAAGATTTCATGATCCATTTAGACTTAATTTAAACTGGAATAATTAAGTAAATGCTGAAATGTTTGATTATGGGTTAAGTTGATATAGAGTCTAAATTTATGTTTTATATTTATTAATTTTAATTTTGTTTTTTGGAGACAGAGTCTTGCTCTGTCACCCAGGCTAGAGTGCAATGGCACGATCTTGGCTCACTGCAACCCCCACCTTCCAGGTTTAAGCGATTCTCTTGCCTCTCAACCTCCCAAGTAGCTGGGATGACAGACATGCACCATCACACCTGGCTAATTTTTGCATTTTTAGCAGAGACAGGGTTTCCCACATTGGCCAGGATAGTCTCGAACTCCTAACATCAAGTGATCCACCCACCTTGGCCTCCCAAAATGCTGGGATTAGAGGCATAAGCCACCATGCCCTGCCTTTAGTCTAAATTTATAAGTTAATTGTAAAATTCTGGAGATAATTCACTGTAGAAAGGTCTTCAGTATGAATTAAACTTTAAAAACTCTTTTATCTGAGCACATTGGTGTTATTTGGCTTTGCAACCAGCATTCTTATTTCATACTTATTGACTGTTGATTACATAAAGATCTAAAGGAAGAATACTGTGCCTGATTAATTAATTAAAGGCAATTTTTAAAAGGAAACAGTATCATGCTAAGCATAATGGTGCTGGGTTGGCCCCCTGGGCTCCTTTTCCTTGGGCCCAGTAACTATCGCCTGTAAGCCTCAGTGTACTCAGATGGAAAATGGAGACAATTTCAGTCCCTACCTTACAGAAAGTTGTGAGTGATTCCATGTAATGCTGCATTCCTGGCAAACAGAATATGCTCTGCATGTACTAGCTCTTGTTCATTCCTGTGACTCCTATGTGTATTATAACAGTAATATGGTCTGGATGTGGTGGTTCACGCCTATAATTCCAGCACTCTCGGAGGCCAAGGCAAGAGGCTAGCTTAAGGCCAGGAGGTTGAGGCTGCAGTGAGCCTCAACTCTCTCCAGCCTGGGAGTTGCCACTGCTTTCCAGCCTGGGCAACAGAGTGAGATCCTGACTCAATAATAATAATAATAATAATAATAATAATAATATAGGCACCATGCAGCAGCTATGGAGAATGTGGAAGACACGGCTTTCCTGGCTTCTGGCTATCACCTGTGTTGAAGAGCAAGCGCTCACTCTCCATGGCACTTGTTATGTCTGAGCTCATGTGTGTCGAGGTGAGAAGCCAGGTCCAGTGCGGCCTCCAGCACCAATCAGCCACACCAAGCCTGCAAGTCCCTGAAAGGCAACTTTTGTTTGATATGAAATTCCATATGTTTTAGGACAGGAAATGAAATAGTGTCTCTGAAAATGATGAAAGAAGGGATTTTGAACATGCATACATGTACACATGCAGTCAAGACACGTTTAGTCACAGAAGCCTACCAAATTTTAAGGACTGCAATTTTTTTTTAAAGAGGATAGCAAAAACGTATCTGGACCTCTGCCTTTAAGTAAACATAATTGGCAGCACCCCTTCTGGCTGAATGTGACCTTGGCATATGATTTCATGTGCCTTTCCAGTGGTTTTCAGGATTTGTCTTTTTTTTAAAAAAAAAACTTATATATATATATATATATATATATATATATATATATATATACACACACACACACACACACACAATTACAGGAGGAGTAGGAAGCTATTGTCATTCTAGATACCTGTTGTTTGTTTTTGCAACATCTTGTAAGAATATACTTCAGAGCCAGGAACCATGGCTCACACCTGTAATTCCCACCTGTAATCCCAGCACTTTGTGAGGCCAAGGTGGGCAAATCACCTAAGGTCAGGAGTTTGAGACCAGCCTGGCCAACATTGGGAAACCTCATCTCTAAAATACAAACATTAGCCAGACGTGGTGGCAGGCGCCTGTAATCCCAGCTACTCAGGAGGCTGAGGCAGGAGAATCCCTTGAACCTGGGAGGTGGAAGTTGCAGTGAGCCAAGATCTCACCACTGTACTCCAGCTTGGGTGACAGAATAAGACTTCGTCTTAAAATATATATATATATGTACCCACACTTCAGGATGGTTAGTAGTTATGATGCTCCCAATTTGTAAGCTCTGTCAGCTTTGTCATGCAGGTGGGGACTTCTTGGAAGTGTCAACATTGACCCAGTGGCCAATAATAAATGTGCTGAGCCTGTCTACAAATGCAGCTTTTATCCTTTATGGCCAGAATATGTTTACCTTCTTTTAATATCTGGTTGGTTCCTAGTGAAGCAAGCATTTTAGGCATATGTGAATGCAAACATAACAAAAAGGTGTATAATGCAATCCACGTGTTAAAGAAAAGACCAGTTGAAGTAAGAACAGGTCTATGTCCGTGGCAAGGTTGCTAACCTTCCAATCAAGGCATCTCTTCCAATTACGTTTTAGTTACAAATCTTAAATGTTGATTCAGGGACACGTCACACAAGTTGCTAGAGAAAGCGTTGGTTTTATTATTCAAAGAATGTTGAGTTTTGGAAATGACATATAGATATTAGTGTCATTTTGGAAATGACACAAATAACAATTGACCTTGCATTTTTATTTTAGTTCTGTAAAATATATCAAAACATAGATGGTGTTGGTAATTGCCAATTATTATCTTTTCATCTTCTAAAGTGCTTGGCACTGCTGTCAGGGATGGATGATATTGCTCAAGGAGGGGGTTTCTGAGAAGCGCATAAACGAATGGGTTTTAAAAAAGCAGTGAGGTGGAATAGAAATGGCAGATAAAGGGAAACACATTTTCTGCATTTTCGAATGATTAATCACATAGTTGGGCCATTGCACGTTATATTTGTTAGCACGACCATCCCGCGTTTACTTTTCTTTTGGAAAGTCTTTCTTGTAAAATCTTGGTGCATTTGTGATTGTGTCCTGATCTGCCAGGGCTGGGGGCCGAGCGGAGAGTGCGCAGCCGCGAAGTGGAGTCAACGCCGGCAGGAACGCAGGGCGCTGGGCCAGGGCCCGCCTCCAGAGGGCGGTGTGCGTCCTTGGCGCTGGAGCACCTGCGTTTCGGGGACCCGGGCAGGTGTAGGGGTCTGCGTTCGGCTCCAGGCCTCCTGCAGGTAGGGATGCTTCATTGACAGATTTGGGCGTCCTCCCCTGAACGAATGTCATCGCTGGCGTGCTCAGCCAGCAGCCAGCTTCAGAGGCAATGGCTGTGTGTCGTGGGAACGGGAGAGAGAAGGAAGCGGAAGAGAGAGAGTTGGAAAGACTGGAGGATTAAGTCGTCACGTCTTTTGCCATCCCAACCTTAAACTGCAGTGTTTAAGGCCTCGTCTGCCCTGCTAAGGTCACAGCACTTTTTACTTTACGTGAAAAAGGGAGGTACAGGAGATTCAGTTCTGAAACCAATGCATGGTCTTAGAGCCTTCAAAGAGCCGTCACTAAAGTATCTGGGTCACAGTTGTAGAGGAAGTGAGAAACGTTTTTGAACCCATCTGAAATGGCTTCATGGAGGGTAAATCTCAAGTTGAATATTTAAAAGGGAAAGCCTGTGGTTTGGCGGAGAAGAATAAACGAAATATTCTAGATACACGTGTAGCGACTTGGTTTAGAAAAAAAATAATTCATAGGGAAAGGAACAGTGCAGAGGATTCTGCGGTCTGTCGCCCAGGCTGGCTTGCAGAGAACGGAATTCAATCTAGTTAGTTGAAGCAGAAAGGGATTTGTGGCAGGATATTAAGTGGTTTACAGACTCTTTGGGAAGACTGAAGGATCAGATTCCAGACTGATCTTTTAAGAACACAACCCAAAGCCACCCTGAAGAATGAAAGAAACTATTGCCTCTTCAAATTCAGCAGAGTTAGGGAAACAGTGGCCACAGCTGCTAGCCCAGAACCACGCCACCTGCCCGGGCCGGGAAGCCACCCAGACAGGCAATTGACATAGTTAGGAAACTCTCCCAAGCAGAAAGCTGCTTCTAGTGCTGCCAGCTTCCAAACCATGACACCCCTGGTGTAACCCACACCAGCAAATAGGTTCCCTGGGCGGTGCTTTTTAATACTCCACAAAGCCAGTAAGTAGACACTGAGACCTCTCCTCACGCTTTCACATAGAAACCAGGTACTTCCACAATGGTGCTTGTCAGCAGAGTATTAGAAACATACCTTCCTAATCTTGCACTAATTTGCCTGAATAGTGGAATCTAAATCACTGTAGACCCTAGATGCAAGGGAGTTGGGGAAATATAGTAAAAACTAGCGTCCCAGCTCCTACAATACATGAAGACATGCTAGGAGGATATCAGCATGGTTGCTGGGTGAATCAATCCGCAGCACTCGTCATAGTCCCCTGCCTGGTTACTCAATTCCCATACACTCCCCTCTTCTCATACCTACACTTCCAAATGGCAATGATTCCCTATGCAATAAAAAAAGGAACTCACTTTCTTCCCAAAACGGGGAAGTGCCATGAGCCACTGCATCCTGTTCTCATAAAGGTTCTATGTTCTAGATTCTGTTCTGGTGTTCACTGAAGTTCAGCCATAATCCTGCCTTGGTATCTTATAACCCATAGACTGAATTATATAAAACACGTCCATCTTCAATAAAACACATCACATCTTATATAAAACACATCCGATATAAAATGTTAAGGGAAAGAGAGAGAAAACATATAAATTGACTAGGCTAGAGAAAAGAAGGAAAAAATAATGATATTGCAGTCCTCATTATTTCAAGAATCATGGGTCTGAGGTTGGGCCATTCAGCATCCTTGCTTTATCCTACAATGTATTTCCTTTCACCCCACCGGCAACTCTGCTGGTTAGAGCTCTTTATCTAGTGGAACGATCTAAGTCTTTTTTTCCTGAGAGGTCCTATTTCTGTGTGGTCTTTTTGTATTGAGATACTGCAGTCTTCCACCAATTCTGTGATTGGACATACAGCCTTTGCCTGTGATTTTCCTTGAGGGGTTCTGCAGACACCATCATATCCCGATTGGCTTGGACACTTCCAGCACTGCTAGATCTGTTACAGATCCAAGTGTGGTAAAGCTGCTTGCACATGACCTGAAAAATTTGCTCTGTTTTTTGTTTTCGTTTTTGTTTTTTTTTTTTGAGACGGAGTTTCGCTCTTGTGACCCAGGCTGGAGTGCAATGGCGCGATCTCGGCTCACCGCAACCTCCGCCTCCTGGGTTCAGGCAATTCTCCTGCCTCAGCCTCCCGAGTAGCTGGGATTACAAGCATGCGCCACCATGCCCAGCTAATTTTTTGTATCTTTAGTAGAGACGGGGTCTCACCATGTTGACCAAGATGGTCTCGATCTCTTGACCTCATGATCCACCCGCCTCGGCATCCCAAAGTGCTGGGATTACAGGCTTGAGCCACCGCGCCCGGCCTTGTTTTTGTTTTTTTAAGACAGAGTCTCTGTCATTCAGGCTTGGGTGGTACAGTGGTGCAACCATAGCTCGCTGCAGCCTTGAACTCTGGGGCTCAAGAAATCCTCTTGCCTCAGCCTCCTGAGAAGCTAGGACTACAGGTGTACACCACCATGCACCCAGCTAATTAAAAAAAAACTTTTTTTGAGACGTGTCTTGTTATGTTGCCCAGGCTGGTCTCAAATTTCTGGGTTCAAGTGATCCTCCTGCCTTGGCTCTCACAAAGCACTGGAATTATAGGCATGAGCTACCATGCCTGGCCTGCCCTGGGATCCTCTCAAAGCTGGCAGACTAATGGGTTATTCAGAATAAGGGTCAGAGCTGCACACACACACAGACACATACACACCCACCCACCCACACACACACAGTATATATTGGTTCCCTGGTCGAGTTGTATCTACCAGGGTGCTATAATAAAGTGCTATAGCTCTTTATTAGCAGTAGGGGGTGCAAAATTCAGAGAGCTATCTCATTGCTCACCAGATCACTGGGCACAGCAATTCTGCTGAGAGAACAGCTCTTGAATTCTTGTGGCACAACATTTCACACTTTGGCACACATCTAGGCACATAATGTACTTGTTCCCGCTCACTAGGTGCAATAAGAATATTACTAATGTGTCCTCTGGAATGGTGACGTGAACACAGTTCCCTGCAGATGTAACTGGGAGAGAAGGCAGAGTCCTGACACAGGGTAAGACTGTGGAGATGTATTGCTGGCCCCATCAGGTAAAAGAATATTGCTTCTTGCGGTTTTATTGAGAAAGAGACAACAGATTTACCAAATTAATAGTTGCATATTGGTGATGGGGGCTGTGTTGATTTGATATAGTCATAAAACTATGTCTAGAACAAGGGCTGCAATTGAAGCCATCTATTGACTGAATTAACAGTGAACCCTCATTATCCTCCAACAGCCATATGTGTTCTATGTAGGTCAAGCAGGGGAGTTAAGTGGGTGTCATAGGAAATGTCATCTCTACACCTTTCATGTCTTTGGCAGTTCATTCAGGGATGTGATGATGCTTTTGATAACTCTTGTTAGGAAGAAGTAGGGTGTTCCAGGGTGTTCCACTTGATCCTTTTTACCTAAAGAGTCCTCACTTCCTGGGCCGGGGATGAGTGTGGGGATTCAGTAGCTGGGGTGTTTCTGCATGCATTCATAGGGTTTCTGCATAGAGAATGCTCTGCATTCAGAAACTCAGGAAGCGGTATCAGATAAGTTTATAGACCTACAAGGTACATCATGAGAAGCACTTGAGCCAAAACTCCACTTACCCCTGGACTCCTGTAACCCCAACTCTGAAAGCAGACTTCAAGCAACTGTTGTGTCATCTTTTGCCACGCAGCACCAGGGTCCCACCTTCCGATGCAAATGAGGCCGTCTGTGCTTCAAGCCCAGCCAAGTCAGATAACTTAGTGGTCTTCAATTTGTTTTCTCCATATACTCCTGAAGACAATTTTGAAAAATAAAATACCCTTCACCCACTTTTAAATTGACATCTCACCTTTTTCTGATATGTGTAAATAGTTGAAACAGATCACAGAACATTAGAAGCTTTAAAAAAGCTAACGTGACAAAACCTAAGAAAGAGATGTTTGTTTGGATGGAGTTCACTCTGCTGCCCAGGCTGGAGTACAATGGTGCAATCTAGGCTCACTGCAACCTCTGCCTCCTGGGTTCAAGGGATTCTCCTGCCTCAGCTTCCTGAGTAGCTGGGGTTACAGGTGTGTGCCACCATGCCTGCCTAATTTTGTATTTTTATTAGAGACAGGGTTTCTCCATGTTGGTCAGGCTGATCTCGAACTCCTGACCTCAGGTGATCTGCCCACCTCGGCCTCCTAAAGTGCTGGGATTACAGGCATGAGCCACCATGCCAGGCCAGAGAGAAATATTTTTAGTGAAGATCTGCCTGATGCATCTCTTATATTTTTGTGTAGACTGGCCTCTGGTTGTGTACATTTCTAACCGTATTTCTTGTCTACTGTCCACACACTCATGGTCATGGTCACCACAGAAAATGAATATCACAGCATGACTTCTGGCCCTCAGCACCACCGGCAGAGGGAGTATTTCTACAAATCATTTTTACACCAGAGTGGCTAGCAATAACATCAGTAAATATATCCTGTAAAACCCAAACCTACTTATTTATCCAAATTCAATTAGTGGACTTTCAAAAGCACCCGTGGCCACTGCAATGCCACCACACATGAGGAGAAGAAAGACAAAGGAGGTGTAAAAAGCGGTATCAATCATTATGGCTGAAACGTCTTACTCTTGCAAATTTTACCAAAATATGTGACGCAGAAGAGCCATTTCTAGGCCTTGGAGATGGCCTGTGCTAGTGAAAGCCTTTGAAGATTAGGGTTCATTAGCTTCAGGGTGAATCTGCCTCTGCACTGCCAAGAGTGACATTATGATAAAAACGCCATATAACTTTGTAGAAAGTGTCCATGGAGCTAAACACTGTAATGACATGCTATTGATCATCATTCGCTTTAAACATATTTGAACGATCTCTTTAATTTTTAAAAATTTTGTCTTTTTATTCTTTGAACATATACTTCCATTTCACTTTCTTCTCAGAATTCTATCATAATGTAATGTGTATGTGTATATATACATATATAGATTTTTTTTTTTTTTGAGACAGGTTCTTACTCTGTAGCTCAGGCTGAAGTACAGTGGTACAATCACAGCTCACTGCAGCTTTGAACTGGGCTTAAGCCATCCTCCCACCTCAGCCTCCTGAGAAGCCGAGATTACAGACATGCACCACCACATCCAGCTAATTGATTTTAATGATTTTTGGTTTCTTTTGTAGAGATAGGGGTCTCACTATGTTTCCCAGGCTGGTCTTGAACTCCTGGTCTCAAGCAATTCTCCCGTCTCAGCCTCTCAAAGTGCTGTGATGATAGGTGTGAGCCACTGCACCCAGCCTAATGTATATTTTTTAACAACTTTATTAAGATATAATTCACATATATAATTCACATACATAAGGTGTACAATTCAGTGCCTTTCAATATATTCACAGAGTTTTACATCATGACCACAATGTATTTTAGAACATTTTTATTTCAAAAGAAGCCCTGCACTCCTTAGCTGTCACCCTGGCAATTTTTCCATCTCCCCCCACCTCACCCAGTTCTAGGTAACCATTAATCCACTTTCTGTCCATAGAGCCACCCACCCCAAACACTGATACATAAATGGAATCATGCAGTATGCTGTCCTTTGAGACTGCCTTCCTTTAGTTAGTGTTACTTTTTCAAGGTTCATCCTATACTTATGCTTGAAACATTTACTAATCACCCTTTTCTGCAACCAAAAATGTATGTGAATTGAAATTGTAAAATGTTCTCTATTTCCTTTGACCAAGAGACTTTAGGAGCTTGAAGTGTTTTCTGGGTCACGATTACAATGGTTGTTATCATAATATGCAACCAATGGAAACAACATAAATGTTATAAACATTGATAAAACAATCGGGTTAATACAAAGAGTGAAATTTTATTGGAAATGTATCACTTACATGAGTTCTTTTTTTAATTTTCTCTGTCTCTCTCTCTTTTTCGAGTTGGGATCTCACTTTGCTGCCTAGCCTGGAGTGCAGTGGTGTAAACTCAGCTCACTGCAGCCTCAAACTCCTGGACTCAAGTGATCCATCCTCTCACTTCAGCCTCCTGAATAGCTGGGACTACAGGTGTGTGTCACCATGTCTGGATAATTTTTGAAGTATTTTGTAGAGATGGGGTCTTCTGATGTTGCCCAGGCTGGTCTCAAACTCCTGGGCTCAGGCAATGCTCCCAAAGTGCTAGGATTACAGGTGTGAGCTACTACACCCAGCTGGAATTTTCTTATTTTAAAAATGTAAGACTGTCAGAATATACCACTGCCAGAATATACCACTGCCAGAGTATAGCACTACCAGAATGTACCACTCCAGAATAAACCACTGCCAGAATATACCAGTGCCAGAGCATGTCACTGCCAGAATATACCACTGCCAGAATATACCACTGCCAGAACATACCACTGCCAGAGTACAGCACTACCAGAATGTACCACTCCAGAATAAACCACTGCCAGAATATACCACTGCCAGAGTATACCACTGTCAGAATATACCACTGCCAGAACATACCACTGCCAGAGTACAGCACTACCAGAATGTACCACTCCAGAATAAACCACTGCCAGAATATACCACTGCCAGAGTATACCACTGTCAGAATATACCACTGCCAGAACATACCACTGCCAGACTATACCACTGCCAGAGCATATCACTGCCAGAATATACCACTGCCAGAGTATACCACTGCCAGAGTATAGCACTGCCAGAATATACCACTGCCAGAGTATACCACTGCCAGAGTATAGCACTGCCAGAATATACCACTGCCAGAGTATACCACTGCCAGAGTATAGCACTGCCAGAATATACCACTGCCAGAGTATAGCACTGCCAGAGTATAGCACTGCCAGAGTATAGCACTGCCAGAATATACCACTGCCAGAGTATACCACTGCCAGAGTATAGCACTGCCAGAATATACCACTGCCAGAGTATAGCACTGCCAGAGTATACCACTGCCAGAGTATAGCACTGCCAGAATATACCACTGCCAGAGTATAGCACTGCCAGAATATACCACTGCCAGAGTATACCACTGCCAGAACATACCACTGCCAGAGTATAGCACTGCCAGAGTATATCACTGCTAGAATGTTCTGCCTCGATTCTTTTTCTATTTGTGCTTCATAGGGTATTATTGCTGGAAAGCCTGATCACAAAATTAAGGTGGTGGGAAGAGAAAATGTTTGTTATAGAAATGTCAGTCAGTTCTCCCAATTCCTTCCCCTTTCTCTTCCCCAAATCACCTGACATGACTTACCCAGGTCCCCACAGGACTCCTGCAGAATGATGCCTCCTTTGACAGTAGATAGACATGTCAGAGATGAGGTCATCACTCAGCCCTTGTCATTACTCTCGCCAGCTCAGTATCATATACTTGAATTCAGAACATCCCAGCATGCACCAAAAGCCAGGTCCTTTCCTCAGCAGAAAGTACCATGAGGCAGGGAAAGCTGGAAAGGCAGAGGATGCTGGAGCCTTGCTTGGTTATCAGGACAGGCTTTCCCTGTGTTTGGCATTTGAGGGTTTCTAAACCCTCGTGGAGTAAGTTTGGGAAGACTGAGGGCTAGTGCTTTCTTTTATAAAGTGTGCTTTTGAACTCTTGCCTTGAGGCACAAATGTATATAGAAGGTGAGGATCTGGAAATTCATTTCTTTAAAATTGTGTGTATACATTTGAACCCAGGAGTTTGAAAACCACCCAGTCCAGCAATCTGAGACTTTGATTCCAAAGGCTCAGTCCTACGACCCCTACTGATACCAGCCTTGGTATTGGTCAGGGTTCAGTTACAGAGCAGAGCAGAAAGGAATTTATTTCAGGATATTAAATGACTCATGGAATCACGGGGAAGGTGAATCAACAGACTCTAGCCTGAGCTTCCTAAGGGACTCCTGGAGTCCCATGCAGTGGGGAAGCTTGAGGCTCCTCTCTGATGACTTGGGAAGCTGCTGCTGCAGCTGCTGTATCAGCTTCACCTGATGCAGCTTCACCCGGCTGCTGCACCTGAGCTGGATGGGGTTTAGATTTCCAGCCTCTTGTAAAGGGCACACCATCCACCCCGCCAGAGTGGAGGACAACCTGGCAGGCAGTGAGAAGGTGGCAGGATTTTTTGGAGTTAAGTGACTGTGGTAAGTAGGATGGCCTAGAATAAGAGGTGGATGCTGGCTGAGCTTGCTGTGGCTGTGAGAGTGTGAAATTCCAGGAGGGAGGCAGAAGCCAAGGGTCACCACAGGACTCAGCGTGCCAGGTTTACCTATAAAGATCATGCAGACCAAGTGTGCCTGAAGCCGTGCTCTGTGGATGCAGAATATGACAGCAGTGTTTGCCAGTCCACTTCACTCACAAGGGGTGAGTTCTATGCCTACTTATTTCCAAAGACTCTGCCAGGTAACTTTGTGATTCTTCAGACTATTAAGTGGGCCAGGCACAGTGGCTCACACCTGTAATCTCAACACTTTAGGAGGCTGAGGTGGGCAGATCACTTGAGCCCAGGCGTTTGAGACCAGCCTGACCAACATGTGAAACCCATCTCTACTAAAAACACAGAATCAGCTGGGCGTGGTGGTGCACACCTGGAATTCCAGCTATTCGAAAGGCTGAGGCAGGAGAATTGCTTGAACCTGAGAGGTGGAGATTGCAGTGAGCCTAGATCACACCACTGCATACCAGCCTGGGCAACAAGAGTGAAATCTCTTCCAAAAAAAAAAAAAGTTAGTTGGGCCTCGTGGTGCATGCTTCAAGCGATGCAGGAGGATCACTTGAGTCCAGGAGGTTGAGGCTACCTGGAGCTATTATCGCACCATTGCACTCTAGCCTGGGCAACAGAGTGAGGCGCTGTCTCTGAAAAATCAAAAATTAATTAAAAATAAGTTAAAAATTAAAAACAAAGACCATTAAGTGCCATGAGTTGATTTATGTTTGTTTTCTCTATACAGTTTTATTCCCAGCATAGGGAATAAATGCAGAAGATGTGCTTAATAAATATGTACTGAATTACCAGATAAAATGAGGGTGCATAATAAGAACCTAGACTCCTTGGAGGCTCCATAAGAAGGTTTTTCTCTGTATCTCATGACAAACTGTCAGTCCCAGGATGGTGTCAGACATAAAGTTGAGTCCTTGGAGGGTGATTTTGACAGTGTCTGAGGTCTGCAGAGAAGAGGCAGGTGTTTTGATCACCTAGCCAACAATGTTCATGACATCAAAGGCCATTATGGTCCCATATGGCTTTAAAACTACAATCTCAACAGCAACAAGAATTTAATGAGGGCTTATTATGTGCAGGATACTATAGTGTTTCATATTCATTATCTCATGTAATCTCACAACAGCCCTTGGGGTAGCTTTTATTATTCCCATTTACAAATGAGCAGACATTTTCTCAGGTAGGTAAGTGACCAACCCAAGGTCCTTGGACTAGAGCCTAGTTGAAGTTTTACATGACCCATTTACTCTGGCCACAGAATAGGAACATTGGAAGGAAATGCAGAGGTCCTGGTGATATTGTTTGGATCTGTCCCTACCCAAATCTCATGTTCATGTAAGCTAACTGAGGACTCTCCAGAAGCCAAGCAGATGCTGGCACCATGCTTCCTGTACAGACTGCAGAACTGTGAGCCAATTAAACCCCCTTTCTTTATACATTACCCAGTCTCTGGTATTTCTTTATAGCAGTGTGAGAATGGACTAATATGCTTGGGCTCTGGACCCAGCTCTGCTGCTACCTGCTCCAACTTGGTGGATGTCACCAGCCTCTCTCTTGCTCTGCCCACACAGAGATACTGAAATCTAGGTCAGTCAGGAGACCCCTGCCCAGGCGGGGTATTGAAGGTATTGAGAGGCAGACGCCCAGATAGCACAACAGAGTGGATCTATCCTGGAGACCAACAGCCTGAGAACCTGCAGGGCTGACAGCTCTCCAGACTGAAGGCCCCAAACAGATATTCATCCGCATATTTATTTGCTCTTTGACAGGTGATTCTTATTAATACATAGGTATTCTACATATACACATAACTCAGGAATATACCACGTAGGCAGCTGTTATCTGCCTACCACTAATTACAAACTAAAAGTATCTTCCACAAAGGAGCCATGGGGGCAGGGTAAACTTAATGTTCCTCAACACAGAGATGTGTCCTTCCCAGCCACTTCTGGGAGATGGTCACGTGGCCAACTCCGCTCAACAGGCAGTGAATGGAGATGATTTGTGCTGTGTGTGGGTGAAGCACTTTGATTGCTGGTTAACTCCTTTTCTCCCATCATGAGACAGAGGAGATGTGTGTTCCCTAGCCTCCCAGATGATAAGGCCATGTGCTTTGATGCTGTGGCTATAAGATGGCAGAGGCTCCATCCTAGGTCCCACATGGGGATGTAGAGCAGAATTCCAGGCAACCCATGTTGGATACCGTGTGAGCAAGAGCACACACGTATGTTGAGGCACTGGGATTTTAGGATTGTTTGTCACCATAGGTAACCCAGGTTATCGTGACTAATGTACTTGGTCCACTCTTGTTAATGCTTTGAGTCTCAATTTTGCCACCTGTAACTGATGATAATAATAATATCTTACCAGTCAGCTATATGGGGGCTGTTAAAAGAGATAAGGGAGGAAATGGTTCCTTCCAGGTCTAACATTCTCCAAAACCATCTAGCATAGCAATATGGCATGCTCTAAAAATAGAGTTTTCTTCATGGTCATTGTATTACATGCTTAAGATCTTAAGATTTGACTCTCACTATTCACAGATTTGATGACAAAGAGTCAGAACTAGAGATGCCCAGGGCTTCCTGTAGCTTTGGGTTGGGATTTTCCAAGGTTTCATCAGAGGTCAATTCTATGTTATTTTGAGAAAGGTGTTGGAGTGAGCTGTGTTTTTGTCTCTCCCTACCCTTGTAATGCAAAACATGGGAGCTGTGGATCATTCCCAAAGCTTCCCTGTGGGTTAACAAATAGTGACTGCAGGCAGGGCTGGTGTGGAAGACATTTCTGCAGCACTGTTTACAATAGCAAAGACCTGGAATCAACCCAAATGCCCATTGATGATAGACTGGATTGGGAAAAT